CTGGGGTTGAGTTGAATCGGGAGAAGACGCACACCTCCAGATCTGACAAGACTTGTCAGCTTGCACCAACCTATGTGTCCGAGTCCTTTTCTTGCACCTGCCAGACATCCCTGCTCTTCCCTCGAAACTGCTGAGGCTGGTCCCCTCAATAGTGTAGTTATACACATAGGTGTATGACTGAACATGTGCAGAAGTAGAAGGCAACGTTCAGAAATAGGCTCTCTTGCTGTGAGCTCTAGGGATTGAAGTTGGGCTGTCAGACTTGGGAGTAGGCACCTTCAGCTGCTGAGTCATCTCACTGGTCCTTTATATATTATTAATTATTATTATTAGTGTGTGTGCTGTGTGCAGGTACATGTGCCATGGTATACAGAAGATGGCAAGCAAACAAATCTGGGAAGCTGGTTCTCTTTAACTGTGGGGTCCAGGGATTAAATTCAGATCAAACTCACACAGTAATTTTTACCCACAAGCTTTACCCGCTGAGTCATCTCACCACCCTTTTTTAAATTTTTTATTACTGCTATATGTATGTCTGGGTGTGCTGCTGGTCCATGGCACCCATGTAGAGATCAGAGGACAAGTTTTGGGAGTTGGTTCTCTTCTTCCACCATGTGGGTCCCAAGGATTGAGCTCAGGACATCAGGCTTGGCACCAAGCACCTTTACCACTGAGCCATCTTACTGGTCTTCTTTCTCTTTTTGATCATCTCAAGTGCCGGATTACAGATGTGCACCTTTATTCCTGCTAACTCAATTGTGTGTGTGTGTGTGTGTGTGTGTGTGTGTGTGTGTGTGTGTGTGTGTGTGTTGTATGTACATGCATGTGCAAAAGAGCACACATGCCACATGTGTCCGAGTGCCTGTAGAGGCCAAGAAGTTGTCAGGTACCTTGAAACTAGAATTACTGATGGTCCGACTTAGGTGCTGGGAACTAAACCTGGACCCTCTGGAAGAACAGCAAATGCTCTTAACTGCAGAGCCGACACTCTGACACCACAACTCAATACGTTAAGCAGCAACTGGGAATGCTGACACTTGTCATCTGGGTTATGCAGATATAAAAGATGAGCAGAACAGACTGACTTAGCTCCCACAGGTCTATAAATCTAACTGGAGAGCCATATATGACAAAGCACATCTATATTCCTAATTTGGGGCAAGAGGCCCAGTTCAAGGTCATTCCTAGTTAACAGTGAGGTTAAAGACAACCTTGAAAAACAAACAAAAAACAAAGCAAAACAAAATCCACACAATTAGAAAGAGTTCATTAGACATATGACAAGGTTTGGAACCCAGTTCACTAACCAGACACTCTGTTTTGCCATCAACACCCAAGAAAACAGATCAGACACCTCGATCTAAAATCAAGATAATGTTTTCAATCTTGCATGAGAGCCCAGGGTGGCCTTGAACTTTCTACCCTCCTCTTAGTTTCTGCAGTGCTAGAATTATACTCCTGTAGCTTTTTGATAAAAGTTAAGTGTTGAGAACATTGGTTATTAAAACATAATTTTGCAACACCCTTGTCTGATCTCTCTAAGAAATATACAGATGGCAGGATGCAGCTGGAATGACACAATCTCTACTTCCTCTGTGGGCAGTCAAAAATCCTATCATTCATTCAATAAGCACTAGAGACCTAAAAAATATTTATTATTGTGTGTGCATGTGTAGGCATGTACATGTAGAGGTCAGAGGACAACTTTGAGGAGCTGGTTCTCTCCTTCTACTGTGGGTTCCAGGGATCAAACTCAGGTTCCAAGTCTTGAATGACAAATTTTTTTGCACACTGAGTCACCCACTGGCCCTGGACTAAACAATCTTACCAAAAGCAACTTAATGGGTGATGGGTTTTTCTGGCTTACAATTAGAGTCTATAGTCTATCACCTAGGGGAAGTCTAGGCATGAATTCAAACTTTTCACATCACATTGACAATCAAGAGGAGAGAAATAAATGGATCCTTGGTTGCTTGCTCTTCTGTCTTATACATACATTTCAGAGTCCCAAACCAGGGAATGATGGCACCTTCAACAGGCTGGGACTCCCTATAGGAATTAACAATCAAGACAATGCTCCCATAGACATGCCCACAGGCCAATCTGATTTACACAATTCCTTACTTAGATTCTTTCCAGGTGATTCCAGGTGGACAAGTTGACAATTAAAAGCTAACCATCATATAACAAAGGGGAAAAAAATGACTACTCCAACAGGATGGATTAAATAAAGCAGTGATAGAAGGGCAGAATAGAAGAGGGAGTATGGGAAAAGGCAACATTAAAAGTCTTTTGAAGACAATGCATAGAAGCCTACCTTCCTAAAATTTATACTTGTATAAAAAGAGTTTAAATAGAATTACCCTGTAGCCAGGCAACAGTGTCCCCACTGGATATACCACAGGCTAACAAATCAAAAAGTCAGTGCCAAGAATGCACTACCTCTTTTGGTGGTGTTGCACAGACCCCCAAACATTATAAACTATTGCCATTGCTTTTGGTTACCCTTCAAAACTTGAGAATAAGACCCTGTTGCTGAAGACACCACATACTTGAGCCTCAGAACATGAAAAAATCAAACTGTTGGGGCTGGAGAGATGGCTCAGAGGTTAAGAGCACTAACTGCTCTTCCAGAGGTCCTGAGTTCAATTCCCAGCAACCACATGGTGGCTCACAGCCATCTGTAATGAGATCTGGTGCCCTCTTCTGGCCTGCAGGCAAACATGCAGGCAGCATGCTGTATACATAATAAATAAATCTTAAAAAAAAAAAAAATCAAACTGTTATTAACCTGGAAGCTTCATCCCTACTGACTAGCTTTTAGTGCTGAGTGCTATGCATGCTACTGGGGAGTGGAGGGGGACGATGGTCAATCTTTATATATATAATTTATTTTTATGTTCATTGGTGTTTTGCCTGTATGTATATCTGAGAGTATCATGTCAAATGTGCTGGAACTGGAGTTACAGATAGGTGTAACCTGCCATGTGGGTGCTGGGAATTGAACCTGGGTCCTCTAGAAGAGGAGCTAGCTAGTGCTTTTAACTGCTGAGCCATCTCTTCAGTCCTGGAATCACCAATCTTATCCAGCTGTGAACTCTGCAAGCTACAATAATGTCCACTCTGGCAAGATATGCCCAGTGATGCAACCACTAGCGGCACAAATGCTATGGGAGTAGCCAAACACTTTCTGATTGGACTTAAGACCCTTCACATAAAATGGAACCCAGACCTGCATTATCAGAACCAAGAACCTGTGGCTAGTTGGTCATAGGAGGGAACCTACCACTATTATTCTGCTAAATAGACATAGTATTAAACAAACTCACGACTTATCACTATACCCACAGACTATCTGTTAGCCAGATAGTCTAGCCAAAATGGTGAGCCACAGTTTTAACCCTATCGCAATCTAAATCTTCATCGGAGAAGCTTCTTGCAGTAAGTAGCAATCAACACACAGAATAAGAAGTTTTGGAGTGCTCAGCCCTAAATGAGACATCTACATCACACCCTTCCCCTCAAGGCTCAGGAATCAAGAAACAGGGGACAGTCAGGGCCAGAGACCACAAATGACTATAATGAAAGTGTTTCCCAGACACACCATGGCACTTACACAAATGAACTCATAGTGGCTGTATAACAAGCACAAGACCTCTGCAAGCTCAAGCCAGACAAAATCCCCGCACAGAGGGGAAGGTGAGATGAGGTCTAACCCTAAGCAGAGGAATTACTGGCAGCTTATGGGAGGAGTCTGTTGTCAGTTTAAAAGTGCAACCTCTTGTAGGCTGTCCACAGTCCAGTGGATGGAGTATTTGGGCAACACAATCTGGACTTGATGAGAAGGAAAAAGAGGAGGAAGAAAAAACAGAAGCAGGAAAGCTGGGTGGGAAGGCAGATGGCAACTCATCTGGGAGAAGTTGGAGAAGGAGTGAATATGATCAATATATACTGTATTAAGCCCTCAAAGCGGAAAAAATATAAAGAAACGATCACAGGTATATTGTATGACAGACCATATTTCATGCTGATATTGAGTGATTTCAAAGCATCATTATAAGGTGTTATTAGGTGCTGCAACCTATGACTTGATTTTGACAAAAGATGCTGAATTGGTGTAAATACTAGAGGCTTTGTATTTATGTCACATGCTATTAACACAGAACTAAATGCATTATTAGTTGCTTCCATATTTACATGCCAGTATGCTATTCATGATCAGTCAGTCTGAAAGAAGGTGACTATGGGACAACAAAATATTGAGAAACCATAATCACTAAACTTTTATTATAGTACATTGTTGAATTTCTTAGTTATTTCTGTTCATCTCCTACTGTAGTGAATTCATAAATTTATCACAGATGCATATGTTCAGGGGCAGAAAATGATACACGTAGAGTTCTACACCCTCTACAGTTTAAGCTATCTACTGACATTCTTAGATCAACCACAGGATCTGGGGAGATGACTCGGTGAGCAAAATACTTGCTGTGTAAATATGAAGACACTGAGTGTGGATCCTAGCACCCATGTAAAATCCAACAGGCTAGCACATGTCAATAACCCCAGCACTGGAGGGGGTGTGAGGGCAGAGACTTGTCAGCCAGATAGTCTAGCCAAAATGGTGAGCTATAGTTTTAATCCTATCTCAAGAATTAAGATAGGTGAAGACACAGATATTGACTTCATAGTTCAGCGTATCTAAAGACATAAAAATACACATGCATACATACACAAAATTATGATTTTAAAACACATTTATTAAAAAAGAAAGTCTCTCTTATAGATAAGGGGACCATTATACTGTTCATTTCACTCAGCAACCTGCAGATGATGGAGGGAGGTACCAGGTGAGAAAAAAACTCACGTGACCACTGCACACTGGGTACAGTTTCATTATGGAGAACATGGGAAGATAAGCAAAGAGAAATATATATGCTGCTTACTGAGGACCCCAGATGAAACCAAAGATGCTGTTAAAAAGGGGGAAATGTACTCACAAAATGTGGTAATATGAGTAAGGTATGGTGATACAGACTTGGAATTCCAGCACTTAGGAGGTGGAGATAGGAAGTCCATGAGTATAGGGTCATCCTCAGCTACACAGAGTTCAAGGCCAGCCTGAGTCCTGTTTCAAAATAAAACCAAATATGATACTATAGTTAACAAAGGAGAACATGCTTAACAACTGTTCCCCAGTTTATATGTGAGAATGGGGTAGTTGGCTGAGCACAGTATTAATGCCAAGGACAACAATCAAAGTTTGAACAAGTGTGCTAGTCCCTGCACTTGCCCTTTACGAAGGACAGTAATTACTGGCTAAGGTACATTCATAATGCAGCAGCATCCTCCCGATAGCACACAAACTCACTGCTATACAAACTCATTCACACGTCAAACTCAAGCCGCTCCTTGTAAAGTCTAGGCATCTCAGAGACCTCCACCTAGGTACAGGGACTGGGAACAGGAGCCACTGTTCCTACAGTTGTAATTTATCAGAGGGCCCAGATTTGATACAACACTGGCTTGGGCTTTAATATCCATGCCAGATTAATGGGATATCCATGACCTGGAGTATTATGGGCAGCTGGGTATGGAGAGTCAAAGACTCTATTTGTGATAACCTGTTCTCAGATAGCCCAGTAGGCATGTCATTTGCTGTCTCAAAGCTGAGAAGGGCCATTTCTTCTATCAGAATAGTATGGCAACAAAAGGCTATCTGAGACAGATACACCACAAGGCATAAGAAATATTGATGAAATCTCTACAGTGAAGAAGTAACGAAGGACACTAACATGATTAGCTGTTAGTTTCAATTTGTCAATAAAATTTTAAAATAAGGATGTATCCCACCAGAACTAAAACAGCACAGCCAGCAACATGGCTCAGTAGAAAAAGGTGCTCACCATCAATTCCAAGGCCCCACAGGGTGGAAGGAGAGAATCAACTCTCCCAAGTTGCCCCCTGATCTAAACAACCCCCCAAATAAGTGTAATTAAAAAATAAAGGAAAGGTTGAGTGAGTAAAAGATGCTGCATTTTTTTGTGTCATTTTAATACTGTGCCAGGGCCAGTGAAATGGTTCAGCGGATAAAGGTACTTGCTGCCAAGCCTGAAAAGCTGAGTTCTATCCCTGGAACCCAGAGGTTTGTAACAGACAATCAATTTCCATAAATGCTGTGGCACTCCTACATGAGTGTAAGCACCCCACACATAGACACACACACACATAGATAGACACACACACACACACACACACACACACACACACACACACACACACACTAAATGTAAAAATGAAGTGTGCCAAATGAAAATCCTGGAAGACACTATCAATGTCCTACTTGTGGTCCTAGAGAAAAGTGTATACAGTTAAAATGTTGTCTGAGGCCAGGCAGCGGTGACCACGCCTTTAAACCCAGCACTCGGAAGGTAGAGCCAGGCGGATCTTTGGAGTTCGAGGCCAGCCTGGTCTACAGAGCGAGTTCCAGGACAGGCTCCAAAGCTACATAGAGAAACCCTGTCTTGAAAAAATAAAACAAAACAAAACAAAACAAAAAAAGATGTTGTTTGAATGGACTGTGTGTGATAACAAAGTTGCTATGATACCTCAAAGGCAGACTGGAAAAGCATGCTGTGTTCAAGCTGGAAGAGTGAGGCACAGTACAGCTAACAAGCTGTTGAGATAGGCACCGAGGGGCTGATGAGATGGTTCTGTGAGTATGCTGCTTACCATGCAAGCCTGTTGACCTGAGCTCAACCCCCAGAACCCACCCACATCAGGAAATAGGACAGGGAGAGAACCAACTCTACAAAATTGTCCTCTGACCTCTATGCACATACCCACACACCCACATCACACACAATAATAAATTAAATAAAAAGAAACAGGCACTAAAAGGAATACATTAGCCAATATATAAGTAAAAAATATTTACAAGTTGTTGCTTGAAGAGAATGAGTAGCAACATTGAGTACTGTATATGGGGCTTTGACTACGAAGCCACAACACTGAGGCTGTGGTAAAACACTTCAAGGTACCGTCTGTGTCTATCTGATCCATGAAAATTAGTTACATAAATTTTGGATTTTGAATTAGATCAGAATATAAAACTATTTTATTACTTACACCTGACAAAATTTATCACATATATACCTTATATTATTCATATTAAAATGCAGACATACAGAAATATATAAAGGCAGGAGCAAGAGGAAACATCAGCTACATAGTGAGTTCCAGGCCATCTAGGGCTACACAGCAGGAATCTATCTCAAAAACCATAAATGAAAATGTAAAGACTGATTTAACTCACATAATCTACTAAATTACATTGTATTTTAAGCTCTTGAATGGGACTCATTTTGAAATCATTAACTCAAGGTGGACACACCTATACTCACAATGCTGGGGAGCCTAAGGTAGGAGGATAGAGGCCAAGGCTGACCTACCCAACACAGCAAGACCAATACATACATACACACACACATACAAACAAACACACACACACACACACACACATATACATACACACATACATACATAAGTATTTTGGAAAACCTGAAGTTTAAAAGTCCCTTTACTTTGCTCGTTTGAGTTCACAGCCAGCAAAAATGCTGCTTGGGGAAGGAGAGGAGGGGGAGGAGGAGACACAAAGGAGAAAGAACCAATGACCAGAGCAAGATTACAAAGCAAAAATTAAATAACACTTCTAAATATCATCCCCAAACAATACAAATTCAAACACAGACTCTCACTATGTAATGCTGGTGGCCTCCAACTTGTGCTTTCCTGCCTCCGTTTCCCATGTCCTAGTATTAGAAGTATATGTCACTCAATGATTTTTTTTTTTTTTTTAGCCTCAGTTGCCCAAGCACTAGAGGACAGGTCACCCATGCAAATACAGCTTTTGAAAATTCAGGCGAGTGCTCTTATTCACTTAAAATGGCCAAGTGATTTCCCTTTTCAAAACAAATGCCTTGTAGTTACAACTAAAAATCTGCTTATTTTCCTAGAATAAGTTTTAAATGAAGTTAAAAAATTGATTCAGAAATTGCTATATAGGTAAAAGACGTGGAAAAAGGAGAAAAAGATTAATGTATGTCAAAATAAAGTATACATATGTCCTCTGACCCAGAACACTTGTCCTTAAAAGCTTACTCTGACAATACACCTCCATAAATACAAGGAAGGGGGATAAAAAGGCTGACAAATTGGCTGAAGGCACTTGCAGCATAAGCCTGTCTACCTGAGTTGGGCCACTAGGACCCACATAGAAGGAGGAAAGAATCAACTCCACAAAGTTGTCTTCTGACCACAACCATGTCACCATCATTAAGGTATGAGCATGTACACATTAAAAAAAAAAAAGGACAGGGACATGTATTCACTGCAGGTGACTAATGGATGTTAAAAAAAATAGGTGGGATGAGAGCTGGGGCTCAAGACATCCCTCCCGTCAAACTATCAGCCTACAATTTTTTTTATTTAAAAGGACAAATCTCTGCAAAACAAAGTGCTGGGGCTGTAGCTTGGTGCAGAGTGCTCGCCTAGCATACCCAAGTCCCTGGCTCTAATGGCCAGCATTGCAAACAAGCAAAGTGCTGTAATAGGCAGGGCCTTTAGCAAGCACCAAAATTAGGACCACAACAACTAGATGCCTCCCTAATAAAATATAATCCAAGTATGTGATATCTACCAATTATCTTCCACATAACCTTTTGAAATCTTTGGAGTTGGCAGTGGAAGCCGTGGCACCCAAATTTACTGGAAACAAGATGTGCCTGTTAAGCTAGCACTTGGGAGATGGTGGTAGGAGTCCAAACTCAAGGCCAACCTAAGCCAATAATAAGCTTAAGACTTGCCTGAACTGCATGACACCCTGCCTCAAAAAAGGGAAAGCTGTGCCTAGCTGTTCAACCATGTATGGCAACTTGTCTACTACATGTATACAGCCAATTAGTTGGTAACCTTTACGGCTTATAAACAAGTACAATATAGATGTCTTGTGGTTTTATTTTGATTTTTTTGACACAAGGTCTTGGTATGACCTCAACTTGCAGTGATACTCTTGCCTCTACTGCTCAGCTGTTGGGATTGCAGGTGTCTACCACCAAGCCCAGCACAACACGGAAATCCTGAATGGATCATATACCTCCACACACCCAGAAGCTTGTTGGTTGTTTTGTTTTGTTTGTTTCTCTTCTTTTGTTTTTTGTTTTGTTTTTTTGGTTTTGTTGTTGTTGTTGTTGTTGTTGTTTGTTTTTTGTTTTTTCGAGACAGGGTTTCTCTGTGTAGCCTTGCGCCTTTCCTGGATCTCGCTCTGTAGACCAGGCTGGCCTCGAACTCACAGAGATCCGCCTGCCTCTATGTTGGGATTAAAGGCTTGGGCCACCAACACTTTTTATTTCTTTTAAACAATGTGGAGAACTCTGAATGTCTATAGTTCAGATATCACATTGCATCATTTTTAATTTTCAGTTCTTTTTTTTTTGTGGTGCTGGGAGTTGAACCTAGGGCTTCACACATGCTAGGCCAATGTTCTACTACTGAGCTGAATGTCCAACTGGTTTTTAACATGTTTCTTTCTTTCTTTTTTTTTTTTTAAGAGACAAGATCTTATGTGATCCAGGTTGGCCTACAATTTACTATATAGCTGAGGATGACCTTGAACTCCTAATCCTCCTGCGTCTATGGATTAAGTGCTGGGATTCCAGGAGTATGGGCTACCACACTCGAGATTATATGGTATTAGAGATTGAACCTAGGCATTTGTACATAATGGGCAAACACTCTACCACTGAGCTGCACACCCGGCTCTATTCTCTAACTTTCTTGATGGAAATCTAGTAATTTTGTTTTGATTTAAGACAGGGTTTCCCTGTGTAGCCCTAGCTGTCCGCGAACTCAGAGATCCGCCTGCCTCTTAAAGGCATGTGCCACCACAACCCTGCCATATTCCCCTTTATTTTCAGTTTACATCTTAGCAAATAAATCACCATACAATATATTTATCTATTAGAGGAAAGAGCAAACAAACTTCTGCAAAAAGATGAATGTATCACAACAGATTCTGGACCATCTAATATGCAAGTACATTTAAGGATTTTTTAAAAAGAGAAATAGGGAGGGAATGTTGTGGGAGAGAGAACACTAATTTATCAATCTTAACAGTTAATTCTACGATTTTTAATAAAGCTTCCCACATTTCCTCTGTGAGGTCCATATTTTTAAGCAGTTTAGTGATGCACAGGCCTAAGAACTAAGAGAAAGTATCTGTAGCATGCACAAGGTCCTGGACTTGATCATTAGCACAAGAGCACAAAAGGGACGGAGGAACGAACACAGGCCTAGGAACTTTGTACAGAACAGCCTAGTATTATTGTTTGTTGGGGTTTTGCTTGTTTTTTAATACAGTGTTCCACTATGGAGCACTGGTTAGCCTGGAACTCATTATGTATACCAGGGTAGCCTGGAATTCATAGAAATCCTCTTGCCTCCTGAGTGCTGAGATCTGAGGCATTCACAGCCACACTCGGCTGAGTTTTCTTAAGTGGACTTGAGTTCTACCAACGTTTATACTCTCACCAGAAAGACGTACACTCTAAGTAACTAAGTACGTCTTTGTATCTGAAGCTAATAGTCAACACACACACACACACACACACACACACACACACACACACACACACACACACACACACACAGAGTCCAGTTTTCACCCGAGGCATTCGTTTCTAATTTTCTTAAGGAAATCGGCCTTTTCCAAAAGCCACCGTTCACTAAGTGCTCACCAAAGGCGCTGAAATCACAAGGTTTATGATGCTGGTCACTCCAACTACTCCAGCGAAAATTCGTTCCCTTCTGAGGAGAAAACAAAAACAAAAACAAAGCAACCAGCTTTTTTCCATAAAAGTTGCTAGGGCGGCTTTTGAAGAGCGGGAGAGGCAGACACCGCCAGGACGAACCCCGGGGCGCTTTCCACCCCGGTGACTGACAGCCTGAGAGCCTCGGCCTCCGCCACGTCCGAGGAGCCGCGGCGCGCTGCAGAGCTCAGCGCCCGCGTCCCGTGTCCTCCCCACCAACCTGCAGGCAGTGCCCGGACCGCGGAACTCACGAAGGCCACAGCCCCCAGGGAACGCCTCCCTGCAGACACGGGCCGGAAGAGACGGTCGCGGCCCTGGCGTCACTTCCGCTCGCGCTTCGTTTACTGCAGGGTCGGGATTCAGATCCTACTTCATTGCATTCCCTTTGTCAGAATTCCGGTTTCTTCGCAGTCTAAGGGCGGGGGCGCCGGGGTAACTTCACAGCGGGAGCTGGAGGCCAATGGTGGCCTCGAGGACAAGACAGAATTGGAACCCAGGCTGTGGGCCGGGCCACGGGTGGGAGCGGAAGTCACCGGTGGCGCCCGGGCCGGGTCACGCAAGCCCTTCCAGCTCGAGGTTTCCTGTGGGTACTCCACCCACAGGAAGCGCATCAGAAACTTTTCCTGCCTGCCTCCGTCGCGTTAAAACCCTAGCTTTCCAGAGCTCCCTGATTCAGTAGGGGACGGAAGGCGGGCTCGCCTCCGCAATTATCTGGACCTCTCACGGTGTTGGGATTGCTTTGGGCAGTTTGCAACAATAAAGAGTGCTTCAACAGATCGACCCTCAGCCCATTCGGCCGAGCTCAGGAGCCACTGGAGGAATTTGAGATGCTGGAGGTTTTTCTCTTTTTTTTTTTTTTTTTTGGTTTTTCGAGACAGGGTTTCTCTGTGTAGCTTTGCGCCTTTCCTGGAACTCGCTTTGGAGACCAGGCTGGCCTCGAACTCACAGAGATCCGCCTGGCTCTGCCTCCCGAGTGCTGGGATTAAAGGCGTGCGCCACCACCGCCCGGCTAAGATGCTGGAGGTTTTTGATTGGAAATCCTGAAATAACTACTGAGTGGGTCTTAGCATTCTCCCAACCGTATCTGCATCTTACCCAGCAATTGTTTTCCCAGTTCTTGGTTCTGTTGAATGCCCTGGGTCCCGAAACAAAAAGTGAACGCAAGTCTTGTTTGTTGTCATCTCAGGTCACAGGAAAAAATGAATGCGCAGTCATTCAAACAGTTCTACTGTTGGATACTGACACTCCTTTGATACACGAAGGGCTTAACAACCCCACAGTTCAGTAGCTGAGAACTGTGATGTTATTAGAAGCCTTTTGAGGAACTTCCAAAATTGAACTCTCTTGACTTACACTGGTCAAACTGAGTCAAGACCAGCTCACATAAAAGGGAAAAGGAGATGCTACTCCGTCTTCTGATGAACATCAAAGAATTTATGGCTGTGATCAAGAGACCCATTTTGGCCCCCTCTGCCATAAATTTGTTCAGTCAGGGGCTTGTGTTGCCATAGCAACAATATGCCAATAAGAAATCATTGCACACTTAAAAACGGAAGGAAAAGCTCTTTATTAAGCACACTGCCAAATGGGGCTAACGCGCCAATAAGAGCTGGCCTTAAATAGAAAATTTTGCTAACTTATATACACCTTAGGGTTATGCATTTTACACACAGTCATCCTTAAATCTTTTAGGTCCCAGCTTACACTTTTAACATTTATAAACAGAGACAGGAGACTGCAAGTCTAGCCACCTGGACAGAGAGATGATTCACAAAGCAAAAACATTGCCAAAATTATTTAAGTACACCAGTGCTGCTCTTTTCAAACAGATGTGACCCAGGGTCATATTGCCCTTTCAACAGAATTATGCTTTTCTCAAGAAAAGAACTGGGAATTTACAGCAGGCCAGGATTTAACATCCATTGTGACCCTGCGCTGCCCCCTGGAGCTGCCTGTTAAAGGCATGTTCTTTGGGGATGAGACTAATGGCTGACCAGTCAGGCCTGTGAACAAACATTTACATCATGAATCATGAATTTGCTTACCTCTACCAGGCTTGAGTAGCACACTACTAAGTTTGGGGTACTGGGGGGCGGGGAGGAGGGGGGCAGCACTTCCTTGGCTAAGTTCTACTTTGTGTGATTTAGCATCTCCTCAGCAAATATATTAAATCCTCTACAACATCCACTGTTCCTTTGAGTTTCTTCTATGTCAGTATGATGGTGCATTCCCTTCTCGGTCTCTGCAATTGTGATGCTCACTCAGGAAGTCAATGATGGGAATCTGTATGCAAATTGTCTAGTCTACTCCGGTAGAAAGAAACGATATTAACAGATTTTATTTTAAAACTGGATTTAATGTTTTAGAATAGCAACTAAAATAAAAGTAAATGGAGTACATAGATTTCAAGCACTGGGCAAAATTTCAATAAAAATATCATTACAAAGAGAAGGTACATGCAACAAATACAGAAGAAAAAAAAAAACCAAGTTGCTAAAAATCCAATTTGTTACTCATTGCATTATACATAATGGTCTAAAACAATTGTTAATCAGGATTTTTCAAGTATTCAGAGTTTTAAAACTCCAACTAAAGTATGTATAAAAGACACATCTACAGCTGGGTTATAAGTCAGTGGTTAGCATGTGTAAAGCCCTAAGTTTGAATCCTAGCACCCCCCCCCAACAAAAAAAAATTTTTTAACTAAGGATACAAAAAGAAAGCTTATATATATATAGAGAGAGAGAGAGAAAGAGAGAGCCATGTAAATACCTACCAGAGTGAATGGAATAAAAACTATATAAGAAAGTTTAAATATTTCAAGATGATTTTTCCCTCCCAAATCATTAACCAGGCCCCCAACTCCACCTTTGGGTGCATTTGTGTTTGTTTGTTTGTTTGTTTTTCTGTTTTATTTTGGTTTTTATCTTTTTAAGACAGTGTCTCACGAAGTAGCCCAGGTTCAGGCTACCCTTAAATCTGTGACCCTCCCGACTTGGCTTCCAATCTCTAAGTGGGTGGTAACACACTCTGCTTTTGAGACAGATACTCACTGAAAGAATACTGGATACTTTCAAGATCAACTCAATGGAAATACAAGAAGAAATCATTGCAGAATGCAAGACAGACCCAAAGTAAATTTAATTATACAACCAGGAAATATTAGGAATATAAGAAAAAAATAAATTTTTGCTTTGTATGTGAAAATGAAAGCATGCCTAGAAAAATATACTCAAAAATTTTAAATGATATTGTAAATATTAGGTGTCCTATAAACATAAAAGATATCGAACAGTTTAAGATAAGGTACCCAAAACAGTATCAACTATTCTAGATCAGGATAACTGAACAGGTTAAGAATTTAGAAAAGTGAGGAATACACTTAATTGTAGTATATGACACTGTTCTAATCTACAGCTAAAAACCAGTCAATTCATTTTAAAAATTTGTTTTGGTGGTGCTGAGGATTGAAACCAGGATCTTGTACATTGATTGATAAACAGAAACTCTACCTATCCCCTGCTCCATTCCTTCTTGCACAAGGAAAACTTACACGTCAATGTTACTCAAGATTATCTATGATAAGCTTTATGTGAGTAAACATAATCAACACTAAGTAGTAAAAAGGATCCATTTGTCTCAAGATTGTAGCTCAGTGGCAGAGTGCCTGCCTAATCCTGGGTTTGTTTGATCCTCAGCAATCACACAAAACAAAAATGATCCTTAATGTCCAAGTTGAATATATCTAGGAATTTAAGGTTAAGATGAGACAACTAATATATAATCATCATTAATAAATGACTGCTTTTATTTTAGAGTCCTTTTACTCATTCCAGTATTTATTAGGTATTACGGACCAAGGAAATCCTAGGTACTTTAGTCTTACCAGCAAATGAGTACAAGTCATCACAGAAGATACAGGGAAAGCAATGAATGAATCCAAGAGGAATTTTACTTCACCAATAAAGATATACTATAAAATCATTATGTAAAATCCAGATATTAAAAAAAAAACTATCTAATAAGCGAATCAGTATGATGGAGAGCATACCTCATTATAATTCTAAAGAAAAATACGCTTTTACTACTTTGACTAGTGTGCTGGACATCATACTCATTTCTGTAAAAGTAACAACTAAAATAGAAAAAAAGTCATTATCTACAGGTATGACTACCTGTCTAGGAAACCAAAAGAATCTATACATACATGTACTGAACTGATGACCCTCTCAAATTCAGGTTAAATCTAACCCACAGCATGATTGTCCAGGTAGGGTCTTTAGAATTCCATTTGTTAGGCAAGGACAATGAGTGGAAACCTCACCCAACAAGGCTATGATTTTATCAGAAGAGAAAGAAAACCTCATTTTCAGGCTTTGTCATGTGAAAGAGACTGCATGCCAGTAAAAGTCTGCAGCAGAAGTCAAACATGCTGTTATTTTTTTTAATGTGTGTATATACGCAGGCTGGTATGTGATACACATTTGCACACGGCATGTGGAAGCCAAAAGATAATATCAGGTGTCCCCAATCACTTTCCACTCTATTTATCAAAGCAGGGTCTCTTGCTGAACTCAGAGCTCATGGATTCAAGTAACCTAGCTACTCAAATCACCTGAGGATTCCCATCTTGCTTCCCAAGCATTGGGATGACAGGAGGGCCTCCATGCCCACCTGGCAGTTAGATGGGTTCTGAGGATCCAAATCTGGTCCTCATGTTTGCATGGCAAGAGCTTTCCCCTCAGAACCATTTCACTAGCTCCCATGCTGTTTTCTTGTATGAGAAAGTAAATTGCTGTATATTATCTGTCCAGGGCTGGAGATAAAAACTAGTTCTGCATATGCTAGGCAAGGACTATTACCACTGAGCTAAACCCACAGCCCTAAATTCTATCCAAAAAGTGGTAAGCTAATGAGAATAGAGTACAATAACATATAAATATGAAAATGTCATAATGGAACCCAATACTATGCTAACCCAAAACAACTTAGTTTTGTTGTTGTTGTTATATTTATGGTGGTACACTAAGTGTGTGTGCAAGCTGTGGTATGCATGTAAAGTAGAGGACAACTTGTAGCAGTCCATCCTGTCCCTTTACTATGGAGGTACCTGGGACTGACCTCAGTTCCTGATTTGATTTAAGCCATTTTGCCAGTGCTGGCTATGGTGTTTTGTGGTCCTGGGTACTGCAGTAAAAGAACACTTAAACAGATGCAAGTAACTTTGAAACTGAGTGATAGGTAGACACTATTCTGGTGAGGGCTCCCTTAAGAAGGAAGAACATGTTACTAGAACATGAAGAAAAAGCAATCAGTGATATGTAATGGTCATGAACCTTGCATTTTGTGTGGAAGTTAGAACTTGAGAGTGATAATATAAGAAATGTATGTAAGAGCTGTAATTAAAGTGTTCAAAAGGAGCAACTTGGTTCCTCTTGAGTGCTTTTTAGTAAAATATGAAAGGGGAAACTACTGAAGCTAAGAAGGAATTGTTCAACAAAAGAGAACTGTACCTTGAAAAACTCTCAGCCAATCCACATTACAATAACTGAGAAGTTTGTATAAAAAAGACTAAGAGCCAGCTAGGGATCTAGCTTAGTGGCAGAATACTTACCTAGCATTTACAACACTCAGTTCAATGCACAGATCAATCTCAACCAAACTGAGGAACGGACATTGGAAATATGAACAAAGTTACTGCCAATTCAATCCAAAATAGATCCCAAAAGGTGGGATGGAATGCACTTTTTGAATTTTATAAAGGAACACAGAGATAACATCTGTCGATAGAACAGCTACTAAGAACAGATAGGGATGTTTCTTGGTATGCTTATTGGAATCAATGGGGTCAGAATAGTTGCCTGGATTATGTCTTTCCACAAACCACCTGTGTCCTATATTATTTTGGCTTGTGGTGAATTTTCACATTAACAAGACACACTGGCAGCCACTAAACAAAAGGATCAAATCTGTTTCATTATTTTATAGCATTTAGAAATGTTATAATCACTAAGAGTAAAGCATCAGAATGAGGCCATCTTGTATACTGGCCTCATTTATGACCCACAAATATTCAGACTCTGATATCCATGAAAAGGTTCCAGGGATGTAGCTCAGTGATTGAGTGCTTGCCTAGCATGTGTGATTTTCAAGGCCAATCCTCAGCACTGCCCAAAAGAAAGTTTGAGGGACAACTAAATAATCCTGTTTCACAAAATTAGGATGGTGTCTAAGGCCAGTGTGAGCCATTATAACCCACACAAAGCAGATAAGACTAATTTGATGATCTTTGGTGTCACTGTCAATATTTAAAGGTGGCAACAGATGGGCTAAATAGCAACACTCATACCCTCACATTGATAGGGCTTCTCTTCAGTGTGGACTCTGCTATGTTTCCTTAGACGTGAGTAAACAGCGAATGCTTTCCCACACTGCTTACATATATAGGGCTTCTCTCCAGTATGGGTTCGCATGTGAATGTTAAGGGATGTGGAATATATAAATGCTTTCCCACATATATTACACACAAAGGGCTTTTCGCCACTGTGAATTTTCAGATGTTTTGTGCGATGGGAGGAAGTTATAAAGGTTTTCCCACAATGAACACATTCAAAAGGCTTCTCTCCTGTGTGAGTTCTCACATGATGAATCAGGCCAGAGGTCCTGGTAAAGGCCTTCCCACATTCCTTACATTCAAAGGGCTTCTCTCCACTATGAATTCGTACATGTGTGGCAAGGCCTGAGTACTGAGTGAAGGCTTTCCCACACTCCTTACATTCATAAGGTTTGATTCCAGTGTGTGTTCTTATATGTTCAGTAAGCTGAGTAGATCTAGAAAAGGTTTTTCCACATTCCTTACATTCGTAAGGCTTTTCCCCAGTGTGAACTCTTATGTGTTCAGTAAGGCCTGACCATCGAAGGAAGGCTTTCCCACATTCCATACATTTGTATGATTTTATTCCAGTGTGAATTCTAACGTGATCATTAAGGTATGACATATTTTTAAAGGCCTTTCCACACTCCTTGCATACAAAGGGCTTTTCTTCATTGTGAGTTTTTACATGTGCAGAAAGTCGAGAAAAATTAGCAAAGGACTTCCCACATATCTTACATACTTTGGATTTTTCTTCAGTATGAATTGAGACATACTGAGTTAGGTGTGAGGAAACCGTGAAGGCTTTCCAACATTCCTTGCAGTCACAGAACTTATCTCCAGTGCACATTCCCATGGGATTATTAAGGCATGCAAAATACTGAAAGTCCTTTCCACACTCCTCAAACTTGTAGGGGTTTCTTGCATTGAGAATTGGAAGATGCATAGCAAAGCTTGTGGGGTGAATAAAACCATTCCCATATTTATTCCAGTCATAGGGCTCTCCTCCATTGTGAGGCCTCAAATCTGTCTGAAAGTACGACGGATTAAAAAAGGCTGTCTCACAGTCTGTGCATTCAAAGGGCTTCTCATTTGTGCTAGTGCTCGGGTACATGATGTTTGGAGTCAGACTGAAGATTTTCCCACACTGATTAAGATCAGAAACGTTCTGTCCAGTAGAGGTTTCCTTGAGGAAAGAAAGAATGTCTTTCCCATACCAGTTACACTCAGAACTGTATCCTTGGCTCTGCATGCTCACCTCTGTGTTAAGGCATAATTGTTCCCCCAACACTTCTCCACATGGCTTAGAGTCACATAGGTCCCCCTCATTATGGTTTTCTGACTGTTGAGGAAGGGATGAATCACCCACCTAAAGACAAAAACATTTTTATGTTCAATATGAATTTTACAGTTTCTTTTCCATGCAATTATTTCCTGACCTCTATTTTTTTCCAAACTGAATGACAGATCCCTTTGCCCAAAGCTTGAGGACTGGTTAATTATATGCATTTTTTAAAAAACAAATGTGTATTTTCATGAAATTGCTTAAAACCTTCATGTCTAATTGCATATATAGAAATACATACTAGTGGAAACAATGAGATATAATCTTTACGGTATATTTCGGGAATCTTCCAATTCATGATATTCCAAATAGTTCTCCAGAAGTATCAATTCCTCTTGGGTGCAGACTAGTCATCTCAAATATCATTTCAAATAGTTTTCTACAACAGAACACCCTCTTCTTTTTCTGAGTATGAAACAGAAAATCCTTTGCTAATCTTACCATTTCTATTGCACTGGAACTTTGCATCTTAAAATAATTCGGAAGCTCTGTATCATCAATTCTAGGTTGCAATTCCAATTCTAAAGTTAAATAGAAAGAGAAACGTAAGAAGTTCAAAAAAATAAGTGGTACATACAAGGAATTAAAGGTGGTAAAGGTCATTTGCCTTTCTTTTCAAATTAATCACATTAAGAAAATACAAGTGAGGGATGGAAAGATGGCTCAGACATTAATGGCTAAGGCTCAAAACCAAAAAGATGAGAAAGTAAAGTGAGACAGACATAACAGTGCACAATTGTGATCTTAAAGCAGAAGATGCTCAAGCCAGAGACTCTTTTTAAGTTCAAGAGTATCCTGGGCTATATTATGACACTCTGTTTCAAAATCAGTACCAGAAAAACAAGGAAAAGGGAGGGGCAAGGGAGATGGCTAGTTGGTAAACCATGAAGCCCAGAGTTTGAACCCCATAACCCACTTTGAAATGCCAGGCATAGTGGTACATGCTAATGATCCCAGTAACTAGAGAGGCAGAGACAAGCAGATTACCTGATTCTCACTGCTCAACCAGCCTTGCCTGGTCAGTAAACCCCAGATCTCAATGAGAGACCTGGTCTCAAAATAAAAGGTGGAGACTACTTTGTCACCAAACGTGACAATCTGAGTTCGAGCCTTGGAACTGATATGGTGGAAAGAGAAAACTGACTCTGAGGTTATTCTCTAACCTCCACACATCTGCCGAGATTTGTACATTACACTCTCTCCTACATGTGAAAGAAAGTAACTGCACATATTTAAGGATTTTGTTATGTTAAAAATTTAGCAACAGGACTGCTCAGTGGGTAGAATGGTTGCCTCACAAGCCCAGGACCTGGGCTCAATTCCCAGCACCTCAAAAACAAGAGCAACAAAAAAGTTGTAATAAAAAAATAGTAATAAAATAAAAGTAGAGTCAACATTTTATGAATTACAAACTGATCCTGTAGGAATTATAGCAATAGGAAAGTCAGAAGGTCTGGAAAAACAGTTAACATTGAAGTCCTAAACTTAGGAAATGGAACACATAGTGTTACCAGATCACAGGTATGCATGAATACCAGATCACAGGTGTGCATGAATAGATAGAAACAGTAGGTTATGTAAAATGGAAGATATCTCAAACTCTGAGAAAAATGGCTCCAATCTCTGAGGCCAGGACATTGTAAGAAAATTGATTATAGTTTCAGAACAATACTGAACTCATCAAACAGATTTCTACATGCATACTCACGTTGAGGAACTGCGCTTTCCACTGTCTCCAACTCTTCTTGTTTTAACCAGGGGGTCGGACTAGGAATGAAGAACTGACATCCTGCATATGCAGAAACATGATTGGAAGAGGTTCAAACAAGAGATGGCAAACTTTTATATGACTAGGAAAATCATACTTCAAATGAAAGCAAAGAAATTCTTTCAAAATGAGTAAAAGTGCAAATGCAGGGGAGGGAGAGATGTAGTGCAGTGGTAGACTGTCTGCTTAACATGCCTAAGGCTCTAAGTGCAGTTTCTAGCAACATAAAAGACAATGTTCCTATTTCTGTGCCCCAAAAAGGACCCCTGAAAGCCAAATGCAAGTTAATGTACACTTTCAAGAGGAGCTATACCTCCAGGGCCGAGCATTCCCTAGCATGTGCACTGCCCTGGGGTTTCATCTCTGGCAACTCACTCATTCTCTCTCTGTCTCTGTCTCTCTCTCTCTCCAAAAACAAGTCTACTTACTATGCAAGGCACAGTGGTGTGTGAAACTTGAAATCCCATAACTTGGGAGGATGAGGACGGAGAATTCCAAGTTTGAGGCCAGCCTGGACTATTCACAGAAGATTTTTATTGCCAAAAATAGGTGAGAGTCACAAGTATATTTTTTAAAGGAAAAGGAAAGAAGAAAGGGAAAAGCAAAGAACTGCCACCATAGATTATTATGTATTGTGACAGGAATTTTATTTGTTGAAGCTGGGAACATGGCTTGTTATAGCCTGGCCTGGAATTTGTTACATAGACCAGGCTAACCTTGAACTCAGAAATCCACCTGCTTCTGCTTCTGCCTCTCAAGTGCTGGGATTAAAGGTGTGAGCCCCTTGTCTGCACGCCCACACAAAAGCTGTTTCATTTTAAAAGTTGCATTTGTCATTCCACTATATTCAAAATTAACACGATCAATCTCCAACACATTAAGAAGCATGCAATATGTATCTGTTTCATAAAAGGTAATGAGGAATGCTGGCTGCCTTACCTACTGAGGTCAAGTTTTCGTAGTTCTCTAGCATCACCTCTCTGTATAGGTTTCTCTGAGTCAGGTCCAGTAACGTCCACTCATCTGGGGTGAACTCCACAGCCACATCATCAAAGGTCACTGAATCCTAAACCAATTACACACATGTTGGTTTGAGCCAATTAACAGTCTTGCTAGTACTCAATGGAAAATTAGGAAGGTGGACCTAATATCTATACATGGTTCTCAGATCAGCCTCAATCCAGCTGCAGGATTCAATGGCCCCAGGAACTCTTCTCTCTAAACTCACTCTGCCGACCTTCTACTGTCACATGACTAAGCATGATTTCTACCAGCACAGCCAGGCTAGAAGCTCTTCTGGTCCTACTCTCTCATCGCAGCATATTCCTAAGCAAACTGTAGATATCTAATAAGTAGATCTTCTGAGAAAAGGGTGCTCTCAGCTGCCTGATCATCTGTCAGAGCACTCAACAAAACAAAAGAACATGCAGTTGTCACATGAGACTCAAGATTAGTTAGTGGAGGCCTATGTCTATAATCCTCAACACTGGAGAAGAAGGTTGAGACCAGCCAGGACTATATAGTGAGTGGAAGGTTAGGTTATATTGCCAGACCCTACGTTAAAAAAAAAAAAAAAAGATTACCTAGTGTAGCTGGGGATACAGCTCAGTGGTGAAGCATGTGCCTAGCATGGGTAAAAAGGCCCTGGTTCAATCCCCAGCCAAGCAAACACATTAAGTAGCAATTATAGAAATGCTAGAATGATTTGCAAGGTAACATGTTACCAATATAAGGCTCTGCTCCCCAGGGAAATTCAGCCAGACACTCTTCACCTCCTAAGGAGAATGCATTTCCTTTAAGAAGTCCTGGAGGCTGAGTCTGTCTAGATTCTAGACTCTAGAAGAAAACGCATCTAGATCATGGACAAAAAAGTTTTGAAATATATTTTATTTTTGTGTGCATTTGTGTTTTTGCCATGGTTGTTGGGGTCCCCTGAAACTGGAGTTACAGACAGGTGTGAGCTGCCATGTGAGTGCTGGGAATTGAACTTGGGTCCTCTGGAAGATCAGCCAGTGCTCTTAACCGCTGAGCCATCTCTCCAGCCCCCCAAAAAGTTTTATTTGGTAGAATGCTATCCTTTCTTTTTACCTGGTAACAATTTGCCTGGTTGTCAGTCACCGTCTCTTCCTCCTCTGTATTTTCTTCATAGATGTAGACAGGCTCTCTAGAAAGAAGACCTGACAGGAAATGAAGACGACATCAAATCCCAGAGCCATGAAGTCACTCTACTCTAGTGTGACATTCCCTGTCATCTGGACCCTCATCAAACCACATAAACACATGTTCCTACCAAGAAATACACAGCACTTCCGTCTCCCCCGGAGCCAGGGGGGCAGGCTAGGAACTCTGCTGCCTGCTGAGAAAGGGAGTGTTCTCACTCTACAGATGAAGAAACTTAAAGGGTGAAAAACACTGACTCTGGGGCTGGTGAGATGGCGCCATGAGGTTAATTTGAGTGCTCAGACCTGGTGCCCAGAGTTTGATCCCAGGATTCCACAATGGAAGGAGAAAACTGGCTCCCTAAAAAAGTCCTCTGACTTCCACATGTACCCTCACTCACACAAATACACACACACACAATAATAATAGTTAAATAAAATAAAAAGTAGAAAGAAAAACATGACTCTAAATTGCACCTGGTAACAGAACTCAGGACAATTATACAGCACCTCTTCTGAAAGCATACACACCGGGCCTAAATCACAGAGCACTATTATGTGACCCATTTCAGCTCTTTGTAAACGAACACACAAGATACTGAAGCCCTGCCCACTGGAATTTGCTGTGCAGGAGAGACCTAAAACAGTCTAAAAAAGAGCTTCAACAAGGACTTACCATGGGACAAATCAATGGCTGCCATCCCGTGATGCTGATGGTGAAATGTGCCTGAACACTCCCTTCCCTGATGCCAAGATCACTTCGGGACAGCTTATGAATCTAAGTGGACAGAGGCAATCTCCATTCCTCTTAATACAGGGTTATATGGAGTCCTGTTCACATCAATCATTAATCAACAACATCGAACGTCAGTCAGCAAACATCACACAGTAGTGCTCACTCTCTGCAGATAATATATGCAAAACCCACCAGCCAACATCTACTCACTAGCCATACGCATACCAATTAACAGTTACTAGTTTTGTCAGAAGCTGTGCTAACAGTTTACACATATAAGCTCACATGTTATCATAACCGTCCTACACAGTAGACATCAGTAGATATCGTTACCCACACTAAAACACCCATATCCAGGCAGCACTAGTGGTCAGTCTAGTATTACCCTGCTTGGAAATGAACTGAGACTTGATGAAACTGAGTTTGTCCAGAAAGCTTGATTTTCTATGACTGCTACTGCTCCCCAACGTGACAAAACATGGACCCACCACAGCACTATTCAGGATTCACTAGTTCCATATGTAAATGATTACTTCATAGGTACACATTATGACTTAATTTTAAAAAACTAAAATGGAAGTATTTCTAAAAATCAGTATGACTGTTATTTGACAACGCGTAAGTACGTTGGCACAAGGCCCAACGCCACACGCTTAGTGCTGGCACTTCAGAGGCCAAGGCAAGAAGACTGTAAGTTAGAACCTCAACCACATAAAGATTCCCAGTCTTAAGAAACAAACAAAAAATAAAAATAAAAAATAAAAGATGATGGCACATGCCCTTCATCCCAGCACTCGGGAAGCAGAGACAGGCAGATCTCTGTGAGTTCAAGGCCAGCCTGGTCTACAAAGACAGTTCCTGGAAGGCCAGAGCTCCACAGAGAAACTTTATCTCGGAAAAAATAAAAAAAAAAAAATAAAAAAAAATTGGAATAGCTTGTCTATTTGAATCTATCTTTTTTTCTCTCTCTCTCTTTTTAAGGACAGCATCTCATATAAAGGCTGGCCTTGAACTCACCACGTAACTGAGGATGACTTTGAACTTCTGATCCTTTTACTTCTATCTCACAACTACGAGGATTACAGATACGTTCCACCATGCCTGGTTTATGTGGTGCTGGGATAGAACTCAGGGCCTTGTGTACACTAGCCAAGCACTCTACCATGGGGCTACATCCCCAGCCCTGTGTGTGACTGTGAGCTATACCTAGGGCCTCATTGTAAGCTAAACACACACTCTACCACTAATATATACCCCCAGGTTCTGAATCTTTTAAAACTACTAATCTCATTTATTATAAACATAAATCAAATATGTCTGGAAAAAAACACAAGCATCTGAGTTTTTTATTATGTACTAAAATGGTATTTTCAATATATGGGTTAAAATAAAAACATGATTACAAATAATCTTACCTCTTCTATTTCATTTACTGTAGGTACTGGAAGTTTATTTCAGGTCTGGCTTATTCTTTAATTCTTTCAGCAAATAATTAGGAAGTCCTATTCCTGTGGTAGGCATGAGCAGAGCAGGGAAGGACACAGAAAATATCCTGTTCTGTAAAGATCTAGAAGTCCTATGGGGAAATATAATCATAACAAAAGAACTGATATATTACTTCATAAGGGCTCCAGGAAATCAAGCAGCTGAGGAGAGTCCTGCATATGCACACACGGGAAGCACAGAACTACAGACTTGTTTGGGGCAAGAGAGCAACACCAAAGAAAACTAACACTGGCTGTATCATCTGTGACCACGAGATTAAGGTAAGAATTGACAGGATTGTTTTTTTAAAGGACTCAGGGCAGGAGAGATGGTTCAGTGTCTTAAGAGCACTGGCTGCTCTTCCAGGACCTGGTTCAATTCCCAGCATCCATATAGCAGCTCCCACTATCTCTAACTCCATTTCTGGGGAATCTAACACCCTCTGAGGACACCAGCCATAAAAGTGGTGCACATACCCATTCATATTAAATAATAATAATTTTAAATTTTCTTAAAAACCAAACAAACAAAAAGCTGGGAGACAGTTCAGTCATGAAAGCATGAGGACCTGGGTTCTGTCACCAGTACCCAGGAAAAGTCTGGGCACGTAATCCCAGTGTTGGGGAGGCAAAGATAGGAAGATCCCTGGAGTTCACTGACCAGTCTCATCAAAATAGAGTTCTGCATTCAATGAGAGATCCTGTCTCAAAACATAAGGTGGACGGCAGCTGGAGAGATGGCTGAACAACTAAGAGCACTTGCTGCTTTTTTTTGGGGGGGAGGGCAGTTCAAAACAGGGTTTCTCTGTGTAACAGCCCTGGCTGTCCTGGAACTCGCTCTGTAGACCAGGCTGGCCTCAAACTCACAGAGATCCACCTGCCTCTGCCTCCCTAGTGCTGGGATTAAAGGTGTGCGCCGCCACCACCGCCCGGCCACTTGCTGCTTTTGCAGAAGATCTGAATTCAATTCCCAACATCCACATCCAGCAGCTCACAACACCTGTTAACTCCAGCTCCAGGGAATCCAATGGCCTCTTCTGGTCTCCAAGTACCCACACACACCACAGACAAAAACACAATAGATAATAAAACTGAATCTTTGAAAAATAATAAGGTAAAGAGTGATTGCAGAACGCACCCAAAATCGCCTCTGGTCTCTCTACACACACCACACACACACACAGACTCAGCACACTTCAAGTACTAGGTCTTGGTTGGAAACATCAGAATCATACATAAATGCCCTTTCCTCTTCATACTGGCACAGGGTCAAGGACGAGTCAGAATCTGCCCACTCTTTTGTGTGGCATACCTTTTTAGATAAAGAGTACCAGGCAATTAAAAGAAAAAGTGCAAGTTTGTCTTTTTATTCTCTCTTTATCCAACCCCCCTCCCAACAGGAAGACCTGATTGGCCTTGAACTCACAGCCCTGCCTCTACCTTCTGAGTGTTGGCATGTGCCATCCAAGTCCTTCTTTTCATGATGCTGGGGACTGAACCCAGAACCTTGTGGTTTACCACTGAAGCTGTATCCCCACCCAAAAAGGTTGACTTTTTTGTTTTCATTTCTTCCAATAATTTCCTTCATTTTTCTTTTATTGTTACCATGCAACATATAGTTTAAAGACTGGCTTTAAAAAAAAAAAAGAAATGAAAACCAGGTATGATGGGGGAAGCTTTGTGAACCCAGCACTGTCAAGACAGAAGCAAGAAGACCCTAAAGCTAGCCTGCGCTAAACAGCAATAGTTATCTTTAAAAACAACAACAACAAAACAAACAAACAAAACCCCAGAGCTGTAATTCCAGTTACTGAGGCAGCTGAAGCAAAATGACAGGATTGAAAGCTCAAAGCTAGCTGGAGCTACAGAATGAGTGCAAGGCCGGCATGGGCAAGTTAGTGGGATCCTGTCTCAAAAGGAAAAAGAGCTAAGGCTGTAGCTCAGTGATAGAGCACTTGCCTAGCATATGTCACAGCCTAGGTTCAATTCCCAGTACCAACGCCCCACACACACACATAAATAAATAAGGGCCAGTGAGATGACTGGGCAGGCAAAGGTTCTTACTGCTAAGCCTGATGACTTGAGTCCTATCTATGCCCATGTCCCACATGGTAGAACGAGGGAACAGACTCCTGAAAGTTGTCCTCTGACTGCCACATTCACACTGTGGCCTGTGTTCTCTCCCCACAAATAAGGTTTCATAAAGCCAATAGAACACCAGCCTACCTAGTGTTCCACACAGTGGCATTTCAATGAACCCCAAAAGTCCCATAGCTCATTATCCACCAACAAAATTCACCCTCTCAAAATCCCTATGCAGCTTACTCTATAGTTGATGAATCTAAAGTGCTGGACTAGATAGTCTCCTAAAAATCACATTTAGACTCCACAGACAAATAGAGCCCACTACAATTATCCCTAGAATTTTGTCCTTCCGGTCCCTGCTACCCCATGCTGGGGCCTCTAAGATACAGAAAGTAGCAGTGCTCTATGGTGGTATTCTATTTGTACTGAAATGTGATTTTAATTGTATGTTAATAAATAAGGTTGCCCGGGGGTCAGAGCTACTAGAGCCATAGCAAGAGTGTGGTAGTGGTGGCGCACGCCTTTAATCCCATAGATCTCTGTGTGTTCAGGGATACAGCCAGCACTGGAGACATACGCCTTTAAGACCTAGAGGGCTGTACACAGGCAGTGACGAGGCAGTCATGTGTTTGGGTTTACAACCAATGAGAAGGCAGAACAGAAAGACTATTTAAAGACATACACACAGGAAGTAGGTCTCTTTCGGAGAGCTAGGAGCACTGCAGGAGGTAAGATTTTAGCTCTGAGCTCTGACCTCTTGGCTTTCTCTTTTACATTGGTTCTGTGTTTCTTATTTTAATAAGATGGTTGGTTACATCTACAGTGCTCCTTACAGTGGGAAAGACATTTGGTAAAATCCCATGAATCCCAACGTTCCTGTGGGTGACTGCAGTGCAGTGCCAACTATGGCTCCTGTCTCAGGAGTCCAAACAGATGCTGCTGTAACTGTCAGCGGCAGTTCCTTGTTTACTCTCCAGCCAATGTTCAGATCGAACTTAAGGGCTCATGCAGGGTAATTAAGTACTTTCCCACAATACCCCCAACCATGATGGTATCTTTTGTTGAGATATTGTCTTACTCCATAGCCCAAGCTGATCTCAAACTTACAGCAATTCTCCTGTCTCAGATAGCTTTCCAATGGAGTGGTTTTTTTCAAAAAAAAAAAAAAAAAGTTTTTGGATTTGTGAAAGGGCTCATTGAGTAGTTGCCACAAGTCTGACAACCTGAGTTTGATTCCCAGATCCTAAATGATGAAGAAAAGATAGCCAACTTCTCCAAACTGTCCTCTGGCCTCAATGTATGCCATGGCATGAGCATACCCCACTACACACACAAAATAAATATGTGGAAAAGATTAATTTGTAAGTCTTTAAAGTTTAAAATAAAAAGCCCTTTCCTTTTCTTGTGTATATGGCTGTGCTCACCTGCGCAGGCTGATGTGGGAGCCAGAGGTGGTGTTTGGAGTCCTCCTCTACAGCTATTCTTTTTTGAGATGGTATCTCTGGCTCAATTTGGGGATTTCTGTTTAGACTAGCCTGGCAAGTCAGTGGGCTCCAGGAATCCAACTCTCCTGGCACCACTCTAGCACTGCAGTTTCAGGCCCACACCACCACATCCAACTTACTTCTTTAGGTTGGGTTCTAGACTCAAACCCACATTCCCTGCTTGCAAAGCTATCTCCCCAGTCCTCAAAGTTTTTTAAGTGTGCTTAAAACTCAGATCTGTTGACCTGCAGACCCACTTAAGATCTAAGACCCTTCCAGGTGTGGTGGTGAACACCTGTAATTCCTGCACTATGGAGGCTGAAGCAGGATGTTCACAAGTTTGAGGCAGCCTTGGCTACATAGTATGATTCTGTCCAAAATAAATAATAAATTAATGAATTTTTGAAAAATCTGGAAGGAAAGGAACACTACAAGGTTGTTAGTACAAAACACAAAACCTGAGTTAACAGGACAAATGACAGCCATGGCCCATATCAAATATTCTTCAAGGGAAATCAGGGTGCTGGTCAATAGACTATAAACAGGGAGTGAGTTTCCATGAGATCTTGGGGGATCACTCTGTCATGGCCAAAAAACTTACACTGGAGAAACATGTGAACTAAAGATTTACTCACAGGTGCTAGAGAGGAACACATACAGAAAAAACAGGGAACCACAGAACAAGGGAGCTGTACCAAACTGGGGACACCTGAGAAAGTGAAGGCCTACAGAAAGGTCATGTCAGAGGCATGACCCTCACACAGCATGTCCAGAGGCGCGGTCTCGAGACTGATAGCTCAAGAAAGCTTGACCTCATCAGTGGCTCACCTAGCTGATGGATTCCTAACTTGACAGGTGTCTTAATGTGTTTCTGTCGCTGTGATAAAATACCCTGACCGAAGTAGCTTACGGAAGAGTGTATTTTGGCTCACAGTTCTAGGGTACAGTTAATCATAGCAAAGTCATGATGGTAGGAGTGTGAGGCAGCTGGTCACACTGCATCTGCAGTCAGGAAACAGATGGTAATGAATACTGCTGCTCAGTTCCTTCCTCCCAGTCCAAGACCCAGTCCATAAAAACATGCTGTCTATAGTTAGGGTGCCACCCACCCAAATTTGCCTAATTTAGATAATCTCCCCCAGGTATGCCCAAAGGCTCATTTCCTGGACAATTTTTACGTACTATCAAGTGGAAAATCAGTATAAACCATCACTGGTGACCTTACTGAAAGATGGTATATACTTCCACAGGACCCAGTTGGAGGAAGTAGGTCACTAGAGGTTCCCTTTGAAGCCCCTATGTCTTGTCAGGTGGTAGAGGAAGGAGGATTAGAAGTTCAAGGCCATCCTCAGCTACATAGTTCAAGACCAGCCAGGGCTAAATAAGACATCATCTTTAAAAAAAGAAAATTAAAATATAAGTTGGGCATGGGGCTGGAGAGATGGCTCAGAGGTTAAGAGCATTGGCAGCTCTTCCAGAGATCCTGAGTTCAATTCCCAGCAACCACATGGTGGCTTACAACC